TTTAAACGAATAAGTAATTATATATTTCTATAAGGATTATCTTTTATAATTCCTTATTTATTATATTGATTTTAAATTTGAAAGCTTTATCGATATTTCGTAAACTTACTACGAATATCACTAATTCTACAGTTTATTAGCCACTCTTCTTCTTAATCCTATTTACTATAGTTACGAATATAGTTACTAAATAATATATTACTTTTCTAAATTCTTTAACTTTTAGGGAGAAATTCTTCGGGGAATATTTTAAGTATAGGATTTAATAACCGGTTACTCCGTACTAAAGTTTATATTTATAAGAGATAAAGTAGGTTTTTATAATAATTAACTATAATTTCCCTAAAATAATAAAGATTTTTAATTTAAGGATTATATAAGTATAAATAATAAATTTATACCTATAAATATCCATTCTAAAATATATAATCCCTTTAATTTCCGCCCCTTCTATTTTTATTAAAGTTCTTTATACCTATTTTTCTAATATAAATATAATAGGAATTTTTAATTTCTTAATAATACTTTTACTAATTATAATATAATACTAACAACCTTCATTAACGAAGGTATAAAAATAATCTTTATTATTAGTAGTAATAAATATCTTAATAATATTTATTTCTATAAGTCTTGGGAAGTTTTCAATTCCCACTTCCTTACTTAGTACTTTAAAGTACTCCTTTATTCGATTTTGTAAAGGAGCTACTCTTTTTCCAATTCTTTAAAAGAAAAATATTTATTATTATCTTCTAATATAAATTCTACCTTAAGTTTAATTTTAATAAATTTAATACTAATAGGGGGATATTATATTAGTTAATATATATAACTACCGACTATATACCTACTAATTCCGTAACAGAAATAAAAATTCAAAATATAGCGCTTATTTCTTTCGTCCTAAAAAATTTATTTAGTACGCTTAACGTTCTTATTACTAAAGTTACCCTGTATTTTAATATAATTTATTATAATATTACCATTTATATTTTTAAAGTATTTAAGAGTAAGAGTAAAATTATACCAGGAAAGGGAATTCTAACAACAATTACTATATTTTTTATTACTACTCCTAATATTATAGAAAGCTTTATTAATTTCAAATTTCTATATAATATTCTTTAATTATTTAACATAAATACCGTAAATTTCAAATATATAAAATAAAATTAATTAATTATAGAAAGCGTTAAATATAGAAATTTCTAATTAAATTAGTTTAGAATTGTTTTCCTAAATAAGGCTTCTAATTTTCGTAAAATTTTCTTCGCATATAAAGAACTAATCTAATAAAAATTAGTTTTTTCTCTATTATATAGTACGTAAACGGGTTAAGGCTAATTTCTTTTTTTTTATTAAAAATTAATTTAAAGTAATTAAAGAAATCTTCGGGTTTATAAATACTATTAATATTATTATAGCGTTAAAAAGCTTTTACTTTAATTATTTTATCAGTTGGGAGGGTATTTAATAATATTAATTAACCCAATTTATTACTAATAATAATTCCTACCAATTTCTCTTCTTTATATATAAGGTATAATCGGATAATATAGAAATTAAATGTAGAAAGGGTTCTATCCTATTTTAATTAATAGATATTTTTATACTTAAAATTACAGTAGGGAATAGTTTTTTATACGGTACCGATTGTAGCGCTCGAGGTAATAATAGTTATTATAGTAAGTATATTAACGTTAAAGGTATTCTATTAATTTTAAATAGTAAATTATATATTAAACGCTATTTTTACTATTCAAGCGAATACGTCGTTAGTAATTAGCGTCGTAGTGAAATCTTCCTTCTCTTATACGAAGTATACAGCTTTTTTCTTTATAATTTCTTTTTATTCTATAGCTACGGCGGCTATAGCGGCGGAAAATTCTGCGGGAATTCTAACTACGGCTATTTAAATAGGTAAGCCCTACTATTACTATTATAATAACTATTTATTTTATTTTATTAGGTCTATTAAAATAAAACCTAATATAATAGGGATAGTACAGTTAATACGAGTATTAATCGTATAGTTTAATTAAAATTCTATAAAGAAAGAAAGTTCTATCTAAGAGGCAGCTCCACCGGAGATACGAGGTTTTAATAGGGGCTGCCCAAATACAGCCACGGCGCCTCATAATAACTCTAGTCGATAACTAGAGCGCTACAGCCCGGGCCTTAGCCCTATAACAAAGGGGAAGGTTTTCGAAAATAGTTTAATTGTATTGTAAAAATAGTTTGTAAAAGAGTATATTATTTAGGGAGCGGAGATAATTGCTAAGTAGTTTATAATCCTAATAATAATTTTATTTTCTCAATAATTAAAGTAATAATAAATTAATTATAAAGTTAGAGATAAACATTATATTTTTAACCTTAACCTTTAAGTCCTTTCCTTCCTTAAATAGTAATATTAATAATATTATATTTTAAAATGGGAATCGTTCAATTTTTAATTTATAAAATTTCGTTATATAAGGCGCGCCGAAATAAAATAAAATAAAAAATTTCGTTAAATACGTATAACGAATTTTTAGAATTGAATATTACGTAGTTTTTAAGCGGGTAAATTATGTTTTCGCTTTCCCCTATTTAGAGGGCTATTTAATTAACGCTAAAAGTGATTTGATAAACGCCCTTATTAATAAGTTAATTTAGGGTATTATCGTTCTCTTGGTCGCTCTAACGGTCTTTATTATAATTAGATTATTATTTTTCTTAGAATCCTTATTAATAAGAGGAGCGCTATACTATTTAATTAATTACTTATAATAAACGTTAATTTTCCTACGTAATTTATCGTTTTTGTGACGGCTGGCACTACCAGTCGTTATGGATTCCATTCACAGGTGGCTTCCATTCACGGGTTTGGTTCAGATGGTTCAGGTTCTGGGCTTAGCCTGGCTTCCTCCCAGAGTTCAGGGTATAAAACCCAGTCCTTCCCATCTAGCCTTCCCTTTTAGGGTTTCCTTCTTTCCTCAACTTCTTGTCTTTAGTCCAAGTTAGCCATTAGGGTAGTACAGTCCTTGCACCCGTACCCATCTCTGGCCACGCGTGACAGTTTTTACGAAAATTCTTTTTAATAATTTCCTAAGTCTTCTTTCCTCTCCTCTAATTAATTTTAATTAAATATAAGAAAATATACTAATATTTTTCAAGAAAATAAATACTTTACTTATACGTTTCATAATAAGGAAGGGCTTTTTCTAAAGATTTTACTAATTTAGCTCACTTTCTTTTATTATAATATAATTTATTTTAATAAGCGTCACTATTTTTAATATTACCTTTATTTAATATAGGTCCTATTCCGAAGCCTCCCTTCTTAATATTATAAATTTTATTCGTTAATACGGTTAAAGTCTTTTCGATGATACTTTTACAGCGGAAATCGCCAGATACATTTCGAAAATTTAATATATTCTCCTCGATATTTATAAAGAAATGCCGGCTAACGTTAGCTATTTAGAAGGGACGAACTATTTTTAAATATTTAAGAAGGTCGTTAAACTAAATATTAATTTAAATAGTTTCTAGAATTATATAATATCTAGCGAGGGTTATAATCCTGTCTTAGCTATTAATTTATTTATTTATTCTACCCTTAGGTTTTTTTGTAAGAGGTTTAAAATATTTATAATATCGACGGCGAATATTTATTTAGGTATTAATAGGACGGTAATTGTAAATTCGTTTAAATATAGTTAGCTATTTTAGGGTTAAACTTTATTTTTCGAAGGTATTAGCTTTATATTTAATATAAACGGTCACTTATATCTATATCTTAATACGATTATTATATAATTTAAAATCGTTAACGATTTTATATTGAAGGTTATTAATAAATTAGTCGGAATTAAATATATATTTATTAATTAACGAAAGGTCGGTTAATAAAACGGTAAAGTCTTTTTCTCAATCTATAATAAATTTATTAGTAGTTTCGACCGTATTTGAAGAAGATAATGGCTAGCCTACTATACTTTAAATTTGGCTAGCCGGAATAGCCGATATTAAATCGGAAGAAATTAAAATTAATAGAGTTATTATAAAGGAAGAAATAATTATTACTCTTATAATTAGGATTAATATCATTAATTAAATAAGTTATAATAGCGTAAATAGTATTAGAATATATTATATTAAAGTAGGCTAACCTATATTAGTAGGTTTAACGTATTGGAGGGTGCTATTTTATAATTTTACGAGGCTTGTTTAAATTTTAATTATACGGCTCGAAGCGGCGGTTGAGAGTAGGTAAAAATCGAGAGGGTATAAGGTATTAAAGACCAGGGTTAGTTCTTTACTTAGAAAGTAATTAGTAAATTAATATCCTTTAGCGAAATTAAGGAGATTATTTTCCTAGTCCCTATATTTATTTAGGGTATTAAAGTAGGGATAGGAGGTTTTATTCGTTTTGATAGTATTCGTTGTATCTTTAGAGAAAATTATAGTAATAAGCTTAATAAGAGTAATAATAAGGAATAAAGAAGTATTAAGTATAAGTATTTTTAAATAGTATTTTGTAGCGTAGCGATTTAATATTTAGATTGTTAATTGTTAGAAAGTACGTAAAATGAGTTAAAGAGATATATAATAAGAAGGAATTAATTTTTGTAATCTTCGTCCTAATTCTTTTCGAGAGTTCTGGGGTTTAAATATAAGAATTAGGGATTCTAGGAGGCTAGTCCTTATATAGTAATATCGTTAGACAGCCTAGTTATCAAGCTATAGTTATGAGGGGATTCTTGTACTGCATATGCAGTATATGAGGTTATATAGATAGGGAGGCATATATTGGATCAGAAGTCTGGCCATCCATGCATGCCCTGATAATCTGACAGAACGTGTCGAAGGACCAATGAGATGGCACAGAAACATTAAAACCATTTAGGTTTTAGGTCGACATTGACTACATCAGTCAACGAAGAAGTTACTAAGAGTGACCGGGAATGCGGCGTGATAACTCCCAAACTCCTGAGAAATCGTGTATGCTGCCGTATCGATCGAAGGCCGTCAAGTACCAACTCACCAGGGCGTCAGGTTCCCTCGCTAAGGAAACATACCTTGATATGCTATGGGCTGGAGACTCGTCTTGTCAAGGCCCCTGTGGTGGGAGAACTGCTCGTGGAAACATCGTGTCGGTGTGTGGGCAAGGAAAAGAAGAAGATATATAAAAGCCGGTGTCACTCCCACCAGTCTGATGGATAGAAGATCATTGCAACTTCAAAATCATCTTTATCCAGGCTTCAAGCAGCTATACTCTTGAACAAGCCCTTGTTTTCTCTCTCCCAGCCTGTGGTCTGCAAACATGGATCGCGACCTCGATACTATCTTGAGCCAGATTCGCAAAGGGTCTTCATCGGTCGACAAGATTTCTGCTACAGGTTCGTCAGGCAACACCATCAAACGAGACGAGAGAAGAAAAAAGGCCATTTATGGGCTAACAAGGAAGTGGAACTATCCAGGCAGCTCAACAACGGCGGGACGCAACCACGATGAGGTTGACAGGAGTGACAAGACGAAGACCTCCCACGCCAAGGGAATGACACCGATAGAGCGTTTCCAGGCCGAACGCTTTGGGGATGGGCCGTGGAACAATGCCAAAGATGTGTACATGCCGAAGAAGTGATGGTGTGTGGACATTCGACCATCATTCATGGTCCGATCCATGAGACACATGTATGCTATGTTAGCAAAGTCGTTCATCAAGCAAGAAGGAAAGGGAAAAGCACTCCAGGAACGACATGGTTCCATTAACTTATCTCTCTCCTGACTACGATGTACTCCATAACAATGGCTCTGTCAATCCCATAGTCAATACCCAACAAACCCCAACAATCAACCGTACAGTATCGATACCTCTTCTCAATTGAACACCCCCTTCTACTCATGACATCCTTCAACCCAAAGCATAGACCGCAACGTCCACATCCGGAACCGTCGCCTTCTCCTTCCCAAACAAATCATCCCTATAAGCCGGATATGCCACCAAATTATTCCCATCGTCAATGACACTCAACGTCGTGAACCCCTCTCCGGGACCAAACTGGCCGCTCCAGCTCGAATGCACCTCATACGGCCCGCACAACTCATCCTCGCCCTTCTCAGGCTTTGGAGAGCGCGAGGCAGGCACACCGGGGCCTAGGGACTTGATGGAGAAAGAGCAAGGAGTTGGAGCGAGCGAGGGGCAATTGGTGTCGATGGTGAAGGACCAGTCGCAGACCGTGTCGGCGTCATCGCAGTACCGCGAGAGGGAATGGATAGTCCAGGGATCGAATCTGCCGCAGGCACGGTCCTGATCCTGGGGCTTGGGCGATGAGTCGGTAGGGGGAGCCTCATCTTCATTATCCGAGGAAGCGTCATGATCGGAGGCGGCTTCATCGTCCGAGGAAGCCTCATCGTCAGAAGAATCTGCATCGTCCGACGGAGCATCATGGTCTGATGAAGCATCATTGTCTGGGGGAGCTTGATAGTCTGAGGAAGCTTCATCGCCCGAGGAAGCGTCATGTTCAGGTGAAGCCGCGTGATCTGAGGAAGCGTCTTGGTTGGAGGGGGCTTCATCGCCCGAGGAAGCCTCATCGTCAGAAGAATCTGCATCGTCCGAGGGAGCTTCATGGTCGGATGGAGCTGCGTCCTCCTCAGATGTGGTGGTGGCAGGTGTCTCGATGGGCTTGTGCTCCTCGGTGGTGGCAGGGACCTCTGCAGATTGGGCCTCAGAAGCAGTGACAGAAACAGTCACAGACTCGACAGCTTTAGTCGCAGTGGTGGTCTCTGCAAACATCGAAGGGAAATCCTCTGTGTCGGTAGGGTATAGGCCTGGATAAGTGGTTTCCTCGATGAGGGTTGTAGTATCGGCAGAGGTTGTCGAGATGGACTCGGCCTCGGAGTAAGGAGGATTATCGGGCGTGGGAATGGGATTGCCGTGGCAGACATGGGACGCGGCGAGGAGGGAAGTGAGAACGAGACTTGTGTAACGCATCGTGACGGTGGTCGAGTGAGACTGGAAATCTGGGGAAAACACTGTTAGCTGCCGTGATGGGGATGAGTGGGTGTAAGAAAGGCCAAGCTTACCTCTCGAAGAAGCTGATGTCGTTGATGCGGCGATGCTCCAAGGGTGGAATGTTATCACCAAGAAAGCGTAAGTAGATAATGAAGCGATGATGTGTGAAGAATGCCAGAGCAATGTAGTAGCGATGTCGTTGCAGAGCAAAGATGATGTTGTGCAAAAAGAAGCAGTGTGGCTAATCCAGATTGAAGGGAGAGGGAAGGGAATCCAGTGAGTTTAAATGGCTGCCAGATGGGCTCGGGATTCTCGCGTCGACATCGTGCTCCTGCCTTACACACAAACCAGTGACGGACGAGGGGAGTGGACTTTCCACATCGGCTATGCTGCTAAGGAAAGTGCGGCTTCAGGAGCACAAGCATCCACATGAGCGGTGCGCGGGTGTAACTTCCAGTTGTGAAGTCAATGAAGCCACTCGTCGCCGACCTCAGTTCTTGTCAGCACTCTCGTGACTGCTCCTGCTTAGATGTGGAAGTTGACCCCGACGTTAGGTACTCTGCCCTGGTTTGTCCTTTCTTCTTTAGCTTGTGGATACAAGCAAGAACGTGCCCTGGGCCAAGCTGTCCGGGCCTGCTGAGCTTGTCAAAGGGTGACACGAAAGTTTCCAAACGAATTTAAAGTGCAAAAGAGGACAAGAAGCGACAGAAAGACGTGTTGAGCAAACAAGTGTATATGCATAAAGTATAAGTATAAACAAGAAGCGAACAATATGTACATGCATCCACATCCACATCTTCTACCATCTAGCAACCACCACCACTACTCCTCTCCTGCTGCAACTGCCACGGCTTAGTAGCACTGGGAGTACCAGTCATTGACAAAGTTGCACTTGTACGGGGAAGCGCAAGTCTTGCAGCCAGAGAAGTTGTTACCACCGCACTGGGCCCACTGAGCAGCAGTGCAGGAGCTAGCCGAGGTGGTGGCAGCAGGAGCGGCGCTGGTGGTGGTGACGGTAGTGTTACGAGTGCAGGATCTAGTCTTCGAGGTGGTGACAGCAGGCGCGGCGCTGGTGGTGACGGCAGCACGGGTGGTCGAAGTAGCGGAGGTGGTAGAGGAGGAAGTAGAGAAGGAAGTAGAGGAGGTGGAAGGCTTGACGGGGGCGACGCTGCTGCTGCTGCTGCTGCTGCTGCTGCTGCTGCTGCTGCTGCTGCTGGGGGTACCGGGGTTGGGGGAGGAGGAGCCTAGGATGGAAGAAGTGTTAGTGTTAGGTTCTAGTAGGAGAGGAGGGAAGGAGTTGACGTACCGGGACCAGCAACGGAAGTGGTGATGCTGCCGCTCTCAATGTAGACACCAGACCAGTAGAAATCCTCAGTGGTATCCGCATAACCATCACGGGGAAGCTCGAGAACACCGACGTGCCAGTCAGCACCGTTGCTGCTGGTGCTGGCAGACTGGGGAGCGATAACTTGGACAAGGGGATCGCTGCCAGTAGAGTGCCAGAAACCGACAGTGTTGGCGCTGAAGTCGATCTCGTAGGCAACGTTGTGCCACACACCGGCGTCCCAGTTGACGCTCCACTTGGTCTGGCCACCGATGCACCACCTCAGCAGGGGGTCAGAGACGCCAGAGGCGCCCGACTGCCAGCCGGACTTGAGCTCGGTGAAGTGGCTCTCGAAGAAGGCGATCTGGTGCTCGCGGGTAAGGGCGGGGGCGTTGGTGTCCTTGCGCATGAGCGAGAAGTGGTAGAAGACCTTGCCCTTGTTGATGGCGGCCGTGGTCTGGGGGATCAGCTCGGTACGGCGCATGTTCTGGCCGTTCCAGTAGGCCGTCTTGTCGAGGGTAATCTTGGCACCCTGGTTGGAGCCCGTGTCGGCCGGGTTCTTGTAGCTGGGAGAGAGGTTGACGTAGGCGGTGACCTCGGAAGAACCGTGGATGTAGTACTGGTAGGCGCCGACCTGGTTGCTCCAAGACCACTTGCTCAGGTCGGTGGAGGAGGTGAAGTCGTTGAAGCGGCCATCCCAGAGAATGGTGCCGGCGGAGACAGACAGAGCTTGGGCCACGAGGCCAGCGAGAACCGTGAACTTCATCGTGATGGTGGTGAGGAAGGCTTGGTGGTGGTGGTGGTGGTGGAAGACAAGACACTGGGAACAAGCCCGGGAGACATGGCGGGAAGCCGATCGATCTTATACACCTTGGCTTCCATCGTATCCCCTGACCCCTTTTTCGGCTTCGATGGAGGCTTAATTTATTCTTACGGGTTGCCATTCCCGGTCCCTGGGTTGGACGAGCCGATGACGGGGACACGCGGTCCAGGCTGGGAGTGCACCTCAGGCCATGGCTGACGGTGCCGAGATTGAAGGCGCAAAGCTTGATGCGCTCCCTTGACAAGTCAAGCTGTGGTCAAGGCATCGCAATGGCGGCCCGTTCGGAACATGATGCGACGCGATCCAGGGAGGGAGGTCGATAGGGTTGCATTGTCGCGGAGGGAGGACGGAAGGAGATGTTGGAGTGCTGAATGAGGTAAAGAGTGGAGACCGAGTCGGTGGAGGCGGCGGCTGCCCTTCCCGAGTTCGGGCGGTCCTCCCCCGCAAACCCACTAAAAGAAGCCCTGAAGAAGCCGCTCCTCGCCCCACCATGTGGCTACATAGTGAAACACCAAACGCCAACCGAGCTTGTTTTCTGTTTCTTCTTCCTTCCCGCAACTCCGTCAATTTCTGTTTCGTTTCAAGTCCTGACAATGTCACCTGTTTCGACGCGCGCGCTTCTTGGAAACAAATGGATATATTAACCACAACAACCGACATCCGCGACCCGGTCACCTGCCCATCATCTTCGCTTCCATGATCTGTGGCACGTCATCGACAGGATGAAGGCCACCATCGGGCCCTAGAACTAACCCTCGTACTCCCTCCGATGAACCGAAGACTGTATTATCACCACCACTGCCACCAGGCAAAGAAGGCCAAGGAGATCATGCCCACGAGAATGAGAAACAAGTTGACAAATGCCCTTTCTACCCACCGCTTGTTGCATTGCTCTTCTCTCGCTTTCCAACCACCAACAGCCGCATTGGCATGAGGAAAAGGGGTGTCCGGCACCTCCTTGCCAAAGGAAGTTGCAGAGTGGTTCCCAGCCGTCTTCAATGTACCATTCCAGCAATCTAGATTGAGGTACCAATCCTCGGATCATGTTGCAATGCTCTATTAGGTTGGTCGAGACAGTTAGCAGGTGTTCAACGTTTGAGGATGGGCGATGAACAATGGTCAAACCTCTAAGGTGGAAAATTGGCGCAAAAGGACCAAGTGGAGCCCCCTCCCCATCCAAGAAAACAAAAAGGAAAAAAGACAAATCACAAAACTCACCTCTCCAAACCCACTCCCCTCCACCCCCTCTCACCACTCTCCCCAACTCCCCATAACCACCGACACATCTAAACAGTGACGGCCAAAGAAGCCTTTCATACACATGCCACGCCCAGAAACACTCCCTATCCAACCAACTCGCGATCCAAGTAGGACCGATATAGCCTGCATGAACGGGAACCTCCGGCTCTTGCAATCGGTACTTGTGTGGTTGGAATGTCGTGGTCAAAGACTGAGACAACAAGGATCAGGAGCAAACACAGCATTGAGGCTCAAACGGGTGTACGACTCTAGCTGGCATAACCACGTTGTGTACATGAAGATTGATATATCTGTCACACCGGCTCGGCGTCTCTCTTAGAAAGTCACAGATGGCACAAGGCATAAACACTTAGGACACGGCAAACATATGACATCCCATTTCTGCGCGCAAGATACCCAAACAGTCTCAAGAATCAATTCCCAAGGTAAGGCCCAAAGAGATATCCAGCCACCCAAACATAACACCCAAACCCCGTCTCTCACTCATCCCGCTTCAAACTCTCAACATACTCCCCAACCAACCCCTCCACCCCCTCATCAACCACCAACCCCAACCCCCCCACCGCCCTACTCGTATCAAAATCCGTCGGCCAGCTCCTCAACACCTTCTCCAGTCCTTCATCCCTCACCTCCCTCACCAGCCCCAGTTTCTCCTTCCCCCCATACTTCTCCAGCGCATCCAACAACTCCTGCACACTCACACTAATCCCCGGGAAATTAACACTCCTCCTATGCTCCGGCAACTTGTCACTATCCATCTCCAACACCCGCACCAAATTCTCCGCAATCGTCGACGGGCTCGACAGATACGACTTAAAGCTGCGATCCTCAATAGGAACCACGCACTCCTTCCCCGCCAACGGCTCCCTTATGATCCCCGACAAAAAGGAAGAAGCAGCGGCCGTCGGCTTACCCGGCCGCACAGAAATAGTGGGGAAGCGGACCACGAATCCCTCGATGAATCCCTTGCGGTGCAGGTCGTTGATGTAAGTCTCCATCATCAGCTTGTGCGCGCCGTAGGTTGATTGAGGCGTCGCCATGACATCGTCCGTCACTACCGCTGGCAGCGGCTGGCCGTATACAGCCTGACTACTGCTGTAAACGACCCGCGTCCCGGGCGCGGAGGTGCGGATTTCGTCGAGTAATAACCGTACACTGTCCACGTTGACTTTTAAACTGAGCTCAAAGTTGGCTTCGGACCCGGCGGACATGATGCCGTGGAAGATGAACACTGCTGCTAACTTTGCGCCGTCTTTTTGTGTGGCGGAGATGAGGGAGGAGACGAAAGAAGGGGAGGTGATGTCCCCTTGAATGGGGATCGCGCGGGAGGGGTTGATGATGTCGGGGCCGGAGGGGACGATGGGTGGGGCGAGGTCGGTTAGGTAGATGGTGTATTGGGAGTAGCGGGGGTCGCGGAGGAGGCGGGTGGCGAGGAGGGGGCCGACGAGACCGCCGGCGCCGGTGATGAGGATGGATTTGCGTGAGGACATGGTTGTGGTGGCTGTGGTGGTGTGGGTGGTGCGTCTGATGACGGATGATAGAAATCGCTAGGGACTTGGGAGACGGTTGATGAGGGAGTCAAGGTGAGTTTTGTATTCACAGTATGTTCGAAAGGAAACTGGCTACCGGCATCAACGATGTCATCTCCCTCGTGGGGATGGGCAAGCTAACATGGTGGCTTCTGCACCCCGCGTCTGGGCAGCGTGGGCAGCGTGGTGAAAATGCGGGGGAAGCGTGCCTCGGGTGCATAACGGGAGGGAACATGGGGATCGCCAATCCACCCCCAAAAGCCAGTCACGGCCGGGGAACTTTTGCAGAGAGAACTTTGCGTCTTCCAATCGGTAGATCGTCATCTTCCTTGGTGGGGGTCACGGTTCTCGACAGCGGTTCCTGGCGGCTTCCCCGCGTTTTCGGGACGCATTGACACGAAAGGCCCGAAGCTTCGCGATACCGTATCCGGCTTGGTTTTCCTTGGTGTCAAGGTTACCGAGACGTCAAAACTGGACTTGTTTTTCTACATCAATTGCTTACAATTCCTTGACTTTTAGATGGCAGGACGCACCACTCCGGTTCAGTGGCAGTTTTGCTGTGACAACTTTGTTCGTCTGCCCATAACTATGTATGGGGGTCATCTTTACCTTGGGCTTTGGTTCTCTACTGTGTAGCTCTCCTTCCTTGGTCGACATGAATACATAGTATTATCAGCAAAGATGGCACTGTCTTTGTGCAACCGTGCCGCCCTCAGCCTTCTTCAACCTTTGCTTTTCCTATCTTCCTCAATCCCCAACCATCGCACTTCCGTGCCGCACGACAGGGGATACCACGATGCCGAGACCTCTCAGCCCTGGCAGATGTAACCCTTCAGGCCCTTTCAGCCCTGCTTTGTCCTAGGCGAGTGCTTGTTATTGGCAGTCGCGCTGGTCAACCGCCAAAGCTGAAGTTACAGGGCGCGCTCCCCTGAGGTTGACCTGTGGCTGCAATCTCCGAAGCGGCACGGAACGAGGTCTCGAGGCTTTCGACCCGTCTCTCTCACTTCTCTCTCTTTCATCGCATCTGCCCGTCGTCTATGTCGGATTGAAGCATCGCCCGGTCGGATTGTCGCGGTAGAGTCCAGCTTTTCGCTTCGGCTCGCTCTTTCCATCTCGAGAACTCGGACTTCGATACCCATTTAAACAGGATGTCTTCATCGCGCGCGCCTGCGCCAACTCCGACGACACTCCTCAACCAGAAAAGGGCATCACCGCCACTCTCAGAACCAGACTCCCTCATCACCCCACCAGCGACAGTAACACAGTCAATCGCCTCCCGATACACACAAATCCACAACCAGATAGACTCGGGAACACGGTTACCCGCCACTGATTTCCAGATCCAAGTCGACGTTAAGCGCGGACTATGGGGTTTTTGTGGGACAGCCGAGGATGATGTAGGCAGGTGTTGGATGCCGGGGAGTTGCTTTGATGAGGACGAGTGTAAGGATGGATGTGGGGCTTTGGATCGGAAGGATTTGTCGACTGCGTCATGGTATGTCTTTCTGGTTTCTTTTGGGAGAGCCCGAGGGGAGTGATGGGAGAGGAGAATGGGGGGAAAGAGAGAGGATAAAGGAAGCCCAGGAATGGAAGAGGGGAAATAGGATGCTGACCGTTGAACAGTTTGAGCAAAGACTCCTCCGGCAGCACCATCCGAGCCTCCATCTGCGCAACCGCCTACCTCACGCTCGACAACGGTCTCGGTCCCTTCCAGTACATTGCTTGCGGCTGGACCACCACGAGAACTCATTACACCGCTTCGCAGGCTGATGCCGCTGGCTATGTTGGTGCGACCACCACCTCTTCCTCAGGCTCCTCATCAACCAGTCTGTCATCGGCATCCACCGTCTCAACGCCAAGTCAACCGAGCATCGCATCCCCAACAGGCAATAGCGGTAATAACTCCAACATCGGCGCCATAGTAGGCGGCGTCATGGGCAGTCTAGCCATCATCGGCGCCTTCATCTTCGCCGCCTACCTCTTCTGGATCTACCGAATCCGAGACCGACGGAAACAACCCCGTGGTGGCTCAGAACCATTGAACGGTGACGGTAGCGGGAGAACATCAGAAGACAACACCCCCACCCCTCTAAGTAACCTAAGCTATAGCCCAGACGGCCAACACTACGGCCCCGGACCTGGACCCGGGCCAGGACATGGAGCAGGAGCAGGTCACGGACAAGCAGAATATGGGGTGCCTTTCGTCTCAATGGGAGAAATGGAGCAGAGGAGGGTCAAAGACGCGGAAGGCGGATGGGGACCGAGGGAGTTAGATAGCGGGTTTGAGAGGGGCGGTTACGCACACGAGCAGGGACAAAGCGGGCCGTATGAGGTGTTGTCGGTTGAGAAGGTGGCGGAGATGCCGGTGAGGTTTGAGCCGGTTGAGATGAGTAGTGGGTGGGAGGATCACCCTGGGAGAGATGGGAGGGAAGGAAGTTATGGGCATGAGTTAGGCACGGAGACGAATGGTGGGAGGAGGAGGTAGGGCGAACGGAGGGTGAAAGGGATGGCGAGGAAGAAGAGGAGGTAATACCCTGGGGAGGTCAAGGTGAAGGCGGGAGAAGTAATGAATGACAGGTCACGATCGAAGGCAAGGAGCATCGACGCCCTTCCCAGTCGGGATCGTGAGGTTGCCGATGACGGCTTGTTGCAGCATTGCACCGTCCGGGTTCCCCACCAAGCGCCCAACGGGCTCGCACCAGCCAGCGTGATGCCCCGACTCGAGACTGAGATCTGGTATCCCTCCGAGGTTGGACCGCCCGCGGCGTCCAAGAAGCTGCTCTGGTTCCTGGAAAGCGTCAAGAAAATCGAGTCCGGCGCAGCCTCGAGACCAAGCACAAGAGAAACGTTGAGGTCCAGTGCCCCAAGGTCGGACTGGAAACCTGGAAGTCTCGGCGAAGTCCCATAGCGTCGGCGGGATCAGTGTTAGGCCGCTGGTGTCAACTCCGTCCCGGTATCGGCTGTTAGGGTTAGAAGGTTCCGGAGAGGATAAGCTGTCCCCGAGCATTGCCTCTTGAAAGGGACGGTTGGCACTCCCACCAGATACGATATAGCGATCCGCGTATGAGCTTGTAGACCAAAACAGACAACGCAAGGAGATACTCACTCGGCTGAAGCAGAGCCCAGAAGAGCAATGCTATCCTCCACGTGGCCATCGCGCAATATATCCCTGTCGGCTCAGTGTAGTGTTACATATGATGATGGACTGCAGCCCTGTCGAGGAAGTAACCATTTCCTAATGCTTCTTATAAGGTCGCAATACCGCCCGGACTTTGTTTACTAGCGGCTTCCTACATAATGTAACGATGTCATGTAACGTAGGTAGTGTCAGAGGCTCAGACGATATTTGTTTGCTGCAGTTCCGTGGTCCGAAGCCAAATCGAATGTAAAGTCTTCCGTGCCTTGCGCACTGCTAGGATATTCAAAGTCCCAAGTTCCTAACCACGCCGTATTGGACGGATGGGCCTATATTGACGGCAACAAGCCAGATAGCAGGATCACGAGCATTTCACAGAGACAGATGCTTGTTACTGTGCGACTATTATTGATCTTATAGTAACCGCGACCAACTCGGCTGCTTCCTACCCGGAGTGCAGTGCAGTGCCGGGCCACATGATTATGATATATAGGTAGAGGTATACAAGAGTGACAAGACCCCCCACCTACACGGGAGACACTATTCCCATGACCAACTAGTTAGAGTTATACTTGCAGTAGTCCAAGTTGTTCGGGTGGTTCCCAGCCCACTCCGGAAAGGGCACCGCTTTGCCGGACCCGCCGAAGACGGCGAAGGTGGCAATGAAGATCATGACCTGGGTGCCGCCATCAAGGGCGGCCGAGACCAGGTAGTTCCACTTGACGAACCACTGCGGTCTGTAGCGGCGGAGGTAGAACTGACCGAAGGCGCCGAGGATGTAATAGCTTGTGATGGAGGCGTTGAGGCCGACAAACAATTCGCCGAGGTACCAGAGGATGATGGCCGTGTTGAGATACGACCAGATCCGCTGTTGCGGGAAGAACCGGTGCATGATGTAGAAGGGCAGCGGGGCGAGGAAGCCGACGAGGTACGCCGCCGTGACCCACTGGTAGCGGGCGCCGATCGAAAACATCTTGGGGGCGATGGCCCACGCGATGGCGAGGGTGTTGAACTGCTGCACCTGGGCGCCGGACCAAACGTTGCTACCCTCAGCGGACTTGAGCAGGGGGGCCTGGTTCTTGACAATGCTGATCATCATCACATAGTTGAGCAGCGCACCGATGACGCATCCGACCATCTGGGTGGTGAAGGTGGCCCTGGGGGATAGCTTGTTCTGCTGGGCGAGCTTCAGGTCACGAAGCAGCAGGGTACCCTGCGTGATACCATTGTATGTGTACGTGGTGAAGTACATGTTGGCTAGGGTAGAAAAAGAGGTTAGCACTGGCGATCGTCAATGGCGGCATCGAAAAGCTTACCCAACGGCTTGCCCGGAAACATGTAGCCCGCAAGCGTCTGCATGACAGGCTGCAGGTTGACGATAAAGCCCGTGATGGCGGACTGGGCACCGAAGAAGATCATGAAGACGATAAGGAAGAGGATGCCGATGATGAATCCCCACCAGGGCAAGGTCGACTTCATGACGTAGAGGCAGACGAGACCGACGATGACGCTGAGGATAAAGACCACAAAGTACCAGCTGCTGGGCACCTCGTGGTAGTTGACCATTAGGCGGTAATGGGGGTCGATGGTCGGGTCCTGGAGAATCGCCTCCTTCTCCGCCTCAGTCCGGGCCCCGGTGGACCTCCAGAAGCAGTACGTGGACGGCTTGAGCAGCGACTTGACCTTGTCGAGAGTGATCCAGCTCCAGCCCTTGCTAACGTCGTCGTAATTCCAGAGGAGCATGTGGATCAGGGTGGCGGTGAGACTGGCGTTGGTGGTGATGAGATAGTTGACGTACGTGGCGGTCAGGTACGGGACGCCGACGGCGTCGACGGCGTCAGTGTTGATGGTGAAGTCCGGGTTCATGATGAGCTTCTCGTCATACGGCACGTAATTGGTCGAGTTCGAGCTGCCGTCGTACAGAAGCTGGGACATGAAGGGGAAATCCATGCCTCTCCAGATGTTGCTGTAGTAGAGACCCATGGACAGGATGATGCCGCCGAGGTAGCCGATGAAGCTGTTGGTGAGGGTATCCATGGGCATCCAGAGCGGCGAGCCGAAGCCGGCGATGTAGTTCCAATCGAAACAGATGTTGAGAAAGCCCATGCCCTCGTTACCCTGCGAACCGCCGAAGAGGTTGGTGAAGACGCCGCTGTTCTGGTCGGCCAGGCAGAAGATGGACACGGCGGACAGGATCGGGAAGATGTACTCGGGGAGCCACTCCCAGCAGAAGATGGCGACGAATATGATCCAGAAGACCTTGAAGCGCTTCGCCGTCTCGGCCTTGGGCTTGTGCAGGGTCTCCATGACGGTGGTGATGGGCAGGTTGGCCGGGTACAACATCTTGGTCGGGTACAGCAGGACGGAGCGCATCATGCCAGCGACACCGTAACCGATGAGCTGAGAGGACAGGGTGATGAAGACGCCGGCGGCGGTGCTGGGGTACCCGCCGTACCACAGCTCCTGCACCGAGAGCGCTTCCGTCGAAAGGGCCGACACCGAAGCCGCCGAGGCCATGAGGACGGCGGCAGTGTGCTCCTTGCGGTTCCAAGGGAACGGGTTGAGGAAGCGGCCGATGGCACCTTTTCTCGGGATGAACTGGGACAGGGCCGAACCCAGAGCCTGGGCGAGGACGGTCAAGAACATGACGGACACGTAGACGACCTGCGGCTTGAAGTACATGATCTCCTGCAAGACACCGCCGAAGACCGAGAGGCCCACACCTATGATTCCATTAGCAGCTTGCTTTGTAAGGGGAAAGGGGACGGCCACTCACCGACAAAGAACATGCGGAAGGTCCACGGGCTCAAGGTCGGGTCGTCGTCGACGGCAATGACGTGGGTGACGATATCCTCGGCCGTCTCCAGGGGTCCGGTCTCTCCCTCCAGAGACTCGGGATCGACCCTTAACCCCAAGTCGGGGTGCTTCTCGTCAGTAGCATGCTCCGCGACCTTGCCCGACGATGTCTTGTCGCTATTCTCGTATACTCCGTTGTGAGCCATCTTGTCGCCGCCTTGGCAACAGCTTGTCGCAGCTAGTAAAAGGGAAAGAAGAGGCTAATCATGCCAAGCAAGCAGCCAAGACGCAGCCATGATACTAATGACGGGCCGGCCCTCATATATCCATTAGAATCAGGCATTGACAAGAAGTCGCAACCGGTGGGCTGCGTCCTGAACTTCCGTATTCGGCAGGTGATAAGGTACAGCGTCTAGCTACTGCACTCATTGATTGCTATCGCGGGAATCATTGCCTATAGGGAGCAAGTGCCAAGCCCGGGTCCACCAAGTGGAATTGAAGATCGTCCGGGGTAAGCGCCCTGCCAAGAACGGCTTGGCAGGTCCAGATAAGGTCCACCAAGTGGAACTAAGATCGTCCGGGGTACGTCAGCGACCTGCCAAGAACGGCTTGGCAGGTCCAGATAAAGGATGCCGTTGTGCCGTTGTGCGCCAATAGATAACGGCAATAAAGGGCAATACTGTCGTGTATGACAGCATGAGCTGACGCGAGATGTTAGATAGTCTCGCCGAACCATATTTGCGGCTTTCAATCACAGCTGACCGATGCCCCGGGAAACGATTGGAATATCGACCGTGAAAGTAAGTGCCATTACTAATTGTTATATTCGTAGTAATTATTGCGGCACTCCAGCTCGTCCAAAGCTCACTCGTCATACTACCTTCTTCAAGATGCCCAGCTCGCAATATCCCCGAGACTTAGGAACTCGCAAGCTGAGCCTGAGTATAAAATGCCCACACCGCCGCCGGCATCCAGGTCCTAAGCCCGTCATCTGACGACGGGGCGGGTGCATCGGCCGGCGCCGGTCCGTGACCACCGTCGTGCGCCGCCCACAGAACCGGGTATCCCGGCTTGCAGCCCGTCGCGGCTGTCGTCATGTGCGTCCTGCTGCCGGCCCGGGGCTCTGGGGCGCCCGCCATAGACGCGCAGCCGTTGTTCTTGACGAACCGGTCGCGCATGGTCCGGCCGCCGGCGATGTTGAGCGTGCCGTCGCTGACGCCGTGGATGCCAAAGTAGGCAACGGGGACGTTGCCTCCGCTGCAGCCCGACAGCTGGCCGCCCGCGATGACGGTCACGGCCCGGAAGTCCTTTGCGCGTGCGCACGCGATGGCGTAGGTCATGGCGGCGCCGTACGAGAAGCCCATGGAGAAGCGCTGGGCCTGGTTGACGCAGAGTCCGGAGTCGATGTACTTGTTGATGGCGTCGATGAACAGGATGTCCTCGCCGCCCGAATTGGCCCACCCGTTATTGAGTCCCTGCGGCGCGACAAGAATGGCGCTCTCGTTGGCCATCTTTTGCATGCCGTAGTAGGCCCACGGCTCTCCGGTAGTACCGCCACCGGCGACCTGGTCCATCGTGCCGCCGACCCAGTGCAGGCCGATGATCACTTTGTATCCGTTGTCTTTCTGGTAGTTCCGGGGCACCCGTATGGTGAACTGACGTTGTTTGCCGTTGACGGTGAGGGACTTGACACCTGAGGTGATGGTTGGCGCCGAGCCGCATCCCGGGCTGCGGCCGGTGGCTCTAGTATGCGGGCCCGGGATCATAGTGCTGAGGGCTCCGGTCAGGTAAGCAAGCCCGAGGAGAAGAGAGCCGACGAGATACATGTTTGCAATCGTGAGCAGTGTCGCAGAAAAGCAAGTGCCGGGTCATAGAATAACACTCATCGACCCGGATGCCGTTGGCTCATTTTAAGTCTTGTCTCCATATGTAGCGTTTGATCTGCCGTCTGGTAAGCTTTTCCCACGACGGACAATTGTCATCCGAGTGTACCATATAGAGCTGTAGCCGTACCGTGGCCCCATCCGCTCCGTCCATGCCCATTCTCCGATCAGGAAGGGAACCACGGCCGAGGGCGGGGTTCCGACTAGGCTCCGACGGTGTTGTTGTTGCGCCAAGCAATTCGACACAATCTACGACGGAAGTGATGAAACCGAGCACTGCTGCCTTTGGAACCTGGTAATCGCCCTCGCTGCCGCTCCAATCGATCATCGCAGAGAACTACCAGCGTCCCCGGTACCTTAGATTGCTCATATCAAACGGACCGCACACCTCTTTCGAAATTGCAAGATGGAGAGTAAAGGTTTTCCACCACTGGAACTTCGAGTCGGTGAAGACATGGGAAGGAGGTCTGCCACCGACGACACTCGTCCAGATATTGGCAGTCTGGCAGAGGCCAATCGCCAGGCGCCGGTGGCTTCGTGGTAGCCTTCCCACACGCACCGACTCACGATGTGAACGCACATGTGCCGGTGCCATAGTCGGTCCAAAGTGTCCCATGAGCCTGGCTCTCCCCCGTCCTAGTATTCTTTCCGATGTAATACAGATTCCATGACCCAGAAAGAAAATCTGAGATGCGCGGGGTAGAGCCCCAACTCCTGGTGGCTTCGGCCTACTTGAACGGTGACGACGACATCTGTGATGCGCCGAAAACCTGGGCTACCTCTAGCTCTACCAAATAGCCCCACCGCAGTTGCCAAGCTCGGGCCGTTGTCGGTGCCGTCTTTGCCGAAGTCTACTATGTAACGGCTGATAAGCGTGTAAGACCCACATTTGTAGATCACGTGTTTTCTCGCATTTGGGGCATGTATTTAACTGGGGATCTGTCAGAGGCCAGGGGATCCACTGGGCGTGCACGTGCCCAGCTGGACTGGGATATGCGGGATTTTTATCCAGATGCTAAAGCTTCAAATCTATAGAGCTAATCTTATACCGATATATACAATTAAGCTACGTTAAACCTATATTGATCATTACCAATAATATTATAATTAAGAGTCTTATTAATTCGACCGTCGAAGCTATCGCTAATAACGATAACCGACTAAACGATTATTAATAATATCTATAACTAAAATTAATAACGTTGCCTTCAACGGCCCTAGGGATTAACTAGCTTAAGAAGATACTTTTATTTCTATAGCTTAGGACTTAGGTCTTTGGAAGTATATCGACCCAGTTAATCGTATTCTTTGGCCAACCGAATTAATAGAACCTAATATCGCCAACTATTAGGGGGAGGTTCTTATTAGAGAAATTAAGGAAGCTAAGAAACATAAGAAGGTTACCCTATTTATTATTACTAAATTTTATAATTTCTATTATAAGCGTAATTATTATAATTATATAATTAAAAAATTGAATTAGTATATAGAAGTCAAAACTTTCTTTAACTTGGGTATTAAAAAAATTACGTTAAGTTACTAAATATTCAAAACCGTTAGAAGTAATTATTAGGAAATTAATTTTACTAAATATATTAATTTATATAAATAATATAATAATTTTAATAAATTTACCGCTTTTAACAACTATAAAGTAAAGAAATTCGCCCAGATTAAATTTATTAATATTTTTAAACCTCCTAACGAAATTAACTATAATTAATATAGCTAGACCTTTTATAGGAAGTAGCTATAGCCTTCTATAGTATTAAAAGAATTACTAAAATAAATAAATTAAACCTATAGTTCCTAGAATTCAATATAGCTATAAAGTCGAATCCTTATACCGCTGAGGCAAATGATTATTAATTTTAATATAATAAGGAGATTGAAAAAAACTTTAATTTTAAAATCTCTTTCCGTACTATAGCTAAGGATTTTTGTAAAGTAGTAATAGCGAATACTATTTAGGGAAAAGGTTGCGCCCCCTTATTTAAAAATATTATATTCGCGGCTATATTAAGTGGTAAACCCGCTAAAGAAAACGTTCCTAATAATAAATAAAACTTTAGCCTGGAAATAGAGGGATAAAGAAAGGTTATAAATAAAAACAGCAAATTTAGGAAGAATATTAATAAAAATAAATATACTTCCTCCTCGTTCCTACTAGCGAACAAATAATTACAACGATCCCCGTATAAACTTTATAAGTAACTGGGCTATAATTTAAATAAGTACTACTATACTAAATTATAATTAGCTTATAAAAGTTAGATTAAAAGTCCTACTATTAAAAAGCGCTTATATATTAATTTAAAAAAGGATAAAATATTTAAAGAGGCTATTAACTATTTACGAACGTAGCGGGACAATAAAAACTAAAATAATTAATTCTATAGTCGCCAAGTAAGTAAGAGTAATTCTTTAGTACTTATAATGAAATCTAGTACTATATACTTACTAAAAGACTTTATAATCCTTAATTTAGGTACGATAATATATATTTTTAATGAAATTAATCGCTTTAAAGACTTTACCCCTTTAAATAATAATAATTACGTATAAGCGGGAAATAAGTAAATTCCTATAGAGGGGTAAAATATTATTATAATTATAATTTAAGATAACGATAGAGATAGAGAATTCTAACTCCCTAACGTCGTTTTAATATTGGGTATAATTTATAATTTCGTCTCCTTAAAATAATTTAAGGATAAATGAATTCATTAGGATTATAAGAATAATTATTTACACTCCCGCCTTATAGATTCCCTTATTTATTATATCCTTTCTAAATATAAATAGTTTATTTTAAAATATATCTTTTTATAAAATAATATTAATGAATCTTTTTTTATTATATAATATATAAATTATACTAAATGGAAGCCTTAAAAAAGTAAGCCCCTTCGCTAGTATTTTCGATTTAATTACCTAAGACCCGAAACTTTAATTAAATTAACGGAATGAAAATATAACGTACAATTAAAGGGACAAAATATAGTATATTATAAACTATATATTAAAGTTAAATTAAAGCGCCAGGTACCTAAAGAAGCTCGTAATTATTTAGAAGGCCTTAGATTACAATTAACTATCAACTTTTTCTCTTATAAGGAAGTAAAAGTAGAGTGTTAGAAATACTTAAATTTAATAATAATTATAAACCGGTAATTTAAATTCGTTTAAATATATTATTTAAATAATAGAAAACCCGAATTTACTATTACGTATTTAGAATTTCTCTATACAAAATTGTAAACTTAATACTAAATTGTGCTTCGGGTAATCGAATATAATAACGAAATAATTAGTAGTAAAAACATTACTACCTAATTTACCGCCAAGGGAACTAATATTAAGCCTTTAACGGTTTATATATAAATTTAAAACGGTACTATAGAATATTTAAGGGGTATAATCAAAATTAAAGGTATAATAATATAATTAAGTACAAGTTTTCCTTATAAATTGTAAATAGAAATTACTAAAGTAGCTATATATTAATATAATGTAATTCCTAAGGCGGAATATTATTAAAAATCTCCTTAAAACCGATTCAAAATATATTACTAATTTAAAAATATTATTATTCCTCTATTAAACCCCTTTTCTACTATTGTATAACTTAAGCTATATAATTATAAAGCGTTTATTCTTATAATAGAAACTATAAAAGAATAAAATAAATTAATAAAATTTCAAGACTGTACTTAGGTTAAGTATTTAATTAGATATTAATTAACGAATATTTATAGGATTTAGAATCCTTATACTAATTCCATTATTATTATACGAAATATTATACTTAATAAAAATAAAATCTTCTCTAGTAATAATATTAAAGAAATTTATAATACCTTTAATATTTTCTTTAAAAAGTTGGCTATATAACTAAAAGACCTTTATTAAATAAATATCGTACAAATAAACGTCCTATAAATCGAAACTATACCTATTATAAATAATGGAATTCTTAGTTCTATTATTTAAAATTTTCCTACCGAAACTGAAAATATACTAAGAGAAAAGGAAGATTTAGGGTCTAGAGAAATATAAACGTAATCTAAATCTTTAAAAATCCCATAAGTATTAAGAATACTGCTAGGTTTAAAAATACTACAAAGATTTTTAAAACCCTTACTATCGCTACCCGTATAATCGTTATTAAATTTCTAAAATATAGTCTTAAATTCGAAGGATAAAGAAGAAAACTATTTCCCTACGCTTTTTAATAATCTAACTACGTTTTAATAACCGACCTTTCTTACTCTAATAAAAAATTATAATTAATTATGAATTAATACCTTTATTAGGCCGCGTCGTTCTTATTTATGAAGGGTAAGCGACCTATAGGCTTTTTTAGGGAAGTAAGGTCGTAGACTAAACCTTCTTAAAATAAATAAAAAGAATGGTATTAATATTAATGACGACTATAATTCTAAATTAAAATTAATAAGGGATATTATTGATTAATATAAAATAAAGGATATATTAAAAACTTTCTATCGAATTAACTTTCTACTTCTTTTAAGATACTATAGTAATTTCAATTCTTATTCCTTCAGGAAATTCTTTAAAGTTGTAGAAAAGGAATACTTAGATAGATATAAAGAAAAAAAATCTTAAAAATAAATTAATATTAAGAAAGCGGGAAATAACGAAATATTCGGTTTAATATAGATATATATTTAAAAATTTATTTAAGATAGCTAATTCCTTAAATATAAAAGACATCGAATTGTACATAGGGATTAATAATTTAAAGATAGCATACGTAAAATGTATATAGTAATTCCAATAATTAAATCGTTCCGTATTTTAATAACTATAGCCGTCTACTTTAATTTCGATTTAATTTAATATAATATAAAGAACGCTTTTATTAACACTATATTCGATAAGGTAATATTTATAAAGGTTTCCCCTAAGTATATTAAAAAAAGCTAAGTACTCTAACTATTATATACGCTATATAATCTAGGGAAATCTCCCCTCCTCCAATAGTAGAAACTTACTAAAACCCTCGTAGCTATAAATATAAACCTTCTCCCTATAGAACCTAATATTTTAATCAAAAATAACGTAATCCTTTTCTTCTACGTCGACGATATCGTTATTATTTATAAGTATAAGAATAAGAAAATTACTATAATTAAAGAAATAGTAACTATTATAGAGAGGAAATATTAATTAATAGGTAGAAAGCTACTAAAATAGTTTCTAGGCATTGAAATTATTCGAAACCGAAAAAAGAAATTAATTTAACTATTATAATATAATTATATTTAAAAAATCATAGAGAAAGTTAAACGTACTAAGAAGCTGTACTTTATATTTATAGCTAAGGAGGAACTCCTACTTTACTAAAATAATATAGCCCCGTACAAAATTTATACGTATTAAATTAAAATCGGTTGAATTCTTTATATCACTATTACGTCGCAATTAAACGTAGCTTTCTCGGTCTCTAAATTTATTCGATTCAATTTAAATCCTAATTTAGTATATTATACGGTTATAAATCGAATACTCTTCTACTTCCTTATAACTTAAAATTACATCCTTCAATTAAATAGTAAAAATCGTTAAATCTTTTACATTATAATTAATTCTTTATTTATAAATAATTCTCTTAATTAAAAGAGTTTATAAGCATTTATATTTAAACTCCTAGGCACTATACATAATTAGCGAACTAATAAGTAAAATATAATTATAACTTCATTTATAGAAGCCGAATCATTATCTTTTAATTAAGGAATTAAAGAGGCTATTTATATTCGCTATCTTTTTAATAAATTTATTTTAGGGTTCGAAAATTAAGAAGCTACGTTTATAAACTATAATAATAAATAAATAATATAATTTATCGTAACAGGGAGATAATAGGGTAACACGAGTTCTTCGAGATACCACGATGCAAAAGCAATGTATAGTATTAATATAAAGAAAGAAGATGTCAGAGGAAGAAAGGCGAAGCCAAAGGCCGCGCCGCGCGGGAATCCCTTTATAGAAATTCCCTTATCTTATTATAAACCTACTTTATATAGAGTCGTACGACCTAACTGGTACGCCCAAAGGGTACGTGCCTGCTAATTATCTAATAAGGGTAGGCATAGCAATTACTATACCCAATCTATATAATTAATTAATTGAACTAATTATATATATAATATAATAATCCCGCATTAAATCCCAGCACCGTAAAGAAAATACTATTATTTTTAATAGGAATAGTCTCACTTCCTTCGACGTAGAGAACGTTTCAATCCTTCGCATCCAAATAATCCTTTTCGTCCACAAAACAAACCTTCTATTATCTATCGATATAAAAGTAGGGAACTCCAAACTTTTGTTCGTCTAGGTAATACTTCCAATAATCCTCTACTAATTCATTTATATCCTTCAAATCGTCCGTATCCTTCCAATCGTTCTTATAATATCTATATCCCTTCCATTTAATATAATACTAAACCTTTCCATCAACCTACTTATACGTAACAATCTTTTCCAATTCGTATTTAGGATCCAACTTTACTTCTAAATTTAAATTACTTTAAAAATCTTCGACTAGTCTAAATAAGGAGGCTAAACGACTAAAAGGATTATCCTTGTTCGGAGCGGGTATAAAATACACTACCGAAATTACTAAGTAAATTTTTATACGTAGAAGCAAGTCCAATTTATAAACCAAACGGCTAACCTTCTAAATAATTTCAAATGGACCTAATTATTATTAAAATATTTTACAAAGTGGACAATTAAAGAGATAATAACCGTAATTAAATTTTAAGAATACTTTATCGCCTATTTTAAAATTCATTTACTAGTAATTAATATTATAGCGAAATTTAACGTTAATAATAATGAAATCTATAACGAATTATATTTTCTAACGGATATAATTTCTAATTACTAAGTTATTTTCAAAAGAATAAAATAGGGTATTAATACCCGTAACAATATTCAAGAGACCCAATAATTTATATCCAAATAAGAACTTATAGGGTAAAACTTTAATTCTTTTAATAAATATACTATTAAAATTCCATTAAAGCGAAGGGATAATCAAAAACTAATTATATCCGAACTCGTAATAAAAAGCGTAAAATCTAATAGCGATCTCAACAATTTAATTCTTTTATTCCGTAGCCCTATTATTAAGAAGGTAATAAGTAATCGTTATATAAAGTTTAATATTTATAGCCGTCTATATCCTCCGCTAATATACTGAAATAAATTTCCGACTGCGATTTAAAATAATATTAATCGGGAATCTCCAATTACAAAGAAAAAACATTCGAACTATAATAATACTCTATTCGGTCGCTATATAAATATTGTATCCGGGGATTAATAAATTCCTTTTAAATATTTTATCGGTAATAGGCATTATAGCGTTAAATATACTATAATTAAATATCTACTAAAGAGTATTAATTAAAAATACTTCCAAAAAGCCTATCATAAAATCGATAGAAATAACGCGTATAGGTAGAGCCTCCTTAGGGCGAATAAATTAATAATCGCCAATAAATTAATTATAGTCGGTTTAATTAAATTAATATATTAAATAATATTTAAAATACTATTAATTAAACAGCTTTTATTAGGAAGAAATATTCCTTGAAATTTATATGTTATATAATTACAGCTAAAATAATACTTTTCGTTATAAACTATTTTTAAAACGTCTTTTATAAATTTATATAGAATATAAAAGTTCTTTATACTATCAGCCTACTAATTATAAATAAAACTGTCCTTTATAAAAAAAAGATAGTTAAACTTTAAAAAAATAACGTCTCCGTCTTCAGAGACCCTCTTATATTCCTTTAAATATTCTATAACTTTTATAAACTTCTTATTAAACGTATACGTTATAATATAAACCTTCCGTAATTTAAAATCCATTTATACTTTAGAATAAACGTACTAAATATTATCGAAATAATAAACCGAATTTTCCTAAACGTTATTAAATACAAATATCCCTTCCGGGTTACTAGCCTCGTCGCTAACTACTTTTAAATAGCTTAACGCGTCGGGGACGAAAATAAATTAACTAAAAATATAAAATACTTTAAATTTATATTTAAATAAATAAATAGAGGTATTAATAAATTAACGATTTATATAATCTATAGAAGTCGTACGTAGAGAAATCTATTCAATAATACCCTTAATAACTAAATAATCGGTAAAAATAACACTTAAAAAATTAAAAAAATATAATTAAGTACGCAACTTCTTAATAGCCCAAATAAAACAAACTACTTCTAACTCAAATAATCCGTATCGCATTTTAATTTTAGTAAAGACCTTACTAAAAAACATAATCAATAGGACCTACGCAAAGGGGATACAAATTACATTACTCTTATCTTAAATATATATAAGCCTTAAATAAAATAATATAATATTAAAATTACGCTTAAATAAACTATCAATTTATAAAAAGGCCTACAAATCGGGGTCTAAATAGTATAAAATAATAAGATCCTTGCAAATCGCCCGTTATAGAGCCTTGAAAACGGCTTTTTCAACGGCGGTAAAAGTATACTAAATTTTAATACAATATATAGCGCGTCTAATTAGCTTTCCTATTTCGACTTTACTAAGTTTATAGCCCTCAATTAATAAAGTAATTTTCTTATTTTAAAGGGGATCGATTAACTATATATAATAAACGATCAAATAACGAAGAAAGCTAATACTACTAATATATTACTTAAAAACTTTTAAATTATCCGGAAAAATATAGTTCTTAAAAGCTTCGATTCGTTCCTTAATTGTTAATACACCAAAACCGTTAACGTAAAAACCGAACAATTCGACGCTTAAATAATCGAAATATAATTTTTTAAATAAAAGGATAATATTCTTCGATACGAATAGAACGAAAATCGTATTAAAATACTTAAAATAATCGTCGACTAAATCGGAAACAATAACAATATCGTTAATATATACCTTACAATAATCTCTATATTTACAAAATAATATAATCTATAAACTTTTAAACGTATACTAATATATTTTTAAAACCTATTTACGTAATAGTCGGCTACTCGAGCCCGTAATATATTATTAAGAGAAACTCTAACTACACGTGGATAAAACTCTATCTGCACGTGGAAAAAAAAATGAATTTCAATATCTTTTTTCAAGCACCAAAAAGTTTAATAAGGAGGCAAAAAGTATATTATGTTTTTTCTTGTTTTTTTCTCTACCTAATATCTCCCTTTCAAAAAACGCACGTGCCCAGTAGCCCAAGAAAACCTTAGGGAAAGAAAGCTATTATAAACGAATAATTAGGAAGATTAAAAGTCCAAAAGTCCAAAGAAGTAGGATTTAGATGACGCTTGAGGCTATGAGGTTGGTACCTACCCTTAAAAATCCGTCAAAAGTCGACGAGTAATTTGGTACTACTTTTGATTTTATACACCAAGGTTCGACTAAGTTATATTTAGAAAAGAAAAAGTGGATCCACGTGCGGATAGAGTTTCTTATTATTAATATAAATCGATCCTAATACTTCTACTAAACGCCAAAGCAGTAGAAGAAAAAGATAGTATTAATAATAATAATTATTACCTTACCGCGTATAAAAATAATAATTTCGCCTTAAAGGGGGAACGGATAATTATTAGGGATTGTTAAATTATTAAAAATACGCAAATCGATTATAGAGCGACCCTTAAAGCCGTTTTTAATTTTCTACTAAACGACGAAGACGGGGTAAGTGAAAAGCGTAACGTATTTTACCTAATTCATTTTACCTTATTTATAAAGGGTATCAAATACTTCGTTAATAATAATTTAATCCTTTTTATTTATAAAATATATACGCGTAGCCACCTGATAATTTTACTAACCGTTAATAAACGGAACTTTTATTATCTCTTTATCCAATATATTTACTAACCCTCCTTCCTTTTAAAATTTAAGAAATTATTTTACTAACTTTATTAATACCCTCGAAATTCGTCTACTACTAGCAAATATATAAATACCCTCTTCGGTAACGCATTTCAATACTTTATTATCTATACGAATACTTAAAATAGAATATTTCTTAAGCAATTTAAAATATAAAATAAATTCGGGCGTAGAAATAACGTAAATAATCGGTACAGGGGTTTCGGATATAATAATATTAGGTGGTATAACTTTAATTATTATATTAATTTCGTTAATAATAATAAAACTTTCGAAATTAATATTGAAATCTACATTTATTTGTATAGAATATATTTAATAAACAATTTCTATTACTTATTTTATAAATAGAATCGGGTTACCATCTATAATATTAAATATTTAAATAAGTATAATAATTTTGCAAACACTTACACAAGAAGTAAAAAAATAACTATCGACGTCGCATTCTATAATTATACTAACTTTCTATTTACAGAGAATAATTAATACTTCGTTAATTATATTTTTTATTAACGTAACTTAAGGGGAATGTATATCGAATAGTAAATTAATAATAGTAGGGTAAGAAGAATTAAAGAGGAAACTTCTATCCTTCGGTAACGCAATATAATATACTAATACTATATATTCCTCTCCGGGTCGTAATATAATTTTCTTTATAATTATAACCTTTTTTGTATAATAGTTAAATAGTTTAAATACTTCGAATATAATATTAAAATTATTTCATAGAAAATGAAGTTTAATTTAACAATAATTAATATATACTTAGCGGAAATAAAGGAAAAAATTAGCTAAAAAAAGATTCGGCTCTAATTTGTCGATTACTTAACTAGTTATAATAATCTTTAATAAAGTAAAGTTACCTTTCGAATCCGTCCCTAGGAAATAGAATATAAATATTACTTACTGAATAAATTTAATTAATTTACCGCTAACGTTTTTAATTCTAATTGTATATTCTGTTAAAATTGTAAATTCAACAATATTCAAAAAGGGCCGGCTAATAATAGTTTTTCCTATTCCCACGTCTATATAAATTTTATCCTCTTCTAAATTTAGGATTACTCTAGCGAAAATACGTAAATAAATAAATCCTAAAAGTAATCTTTATTTCGAAAGTTCGCTTATTTAAAGAATTAAATATTTAACTTAGAAGGGAATGGTAATAGCGTAGTAAATAATTTTAATTAATCACGTATTACGGGGTTTATTATAAATATTGAAATATTCGAAAAGGCGATTCTTAAAAGGAAAGGTTTCTTCACAATCTTTATATTTATAGAAATTATCATTAAAATGGATAAAGTGAATTACGTCTTTACAATTACTCTTTATTTTATAAATTCGCGTATAGTTATCTTTTCTTTTTATCGAATTAAACTCTAATAAATATTTAGAATAAATTAATTCGCTATTATATATATAATAAACTGGATTATTTAAATTATATTTATCTGAATCGCTATAAGCGGAATTAATAAAATCCGTAATAATATCTTCCTCCTTAATATAATAGGCATAATCCTTATTTCTGTCCTTATTAATATTGTAATCGCGGTTATAATTATAATTATAATCGCAATTATAGTCAGAATTATAATTGTAATTAAAAGTACGGGTATTAATATTATAATTATAATTATAAGTACGGGTATTACTATAGTCGTTAGTATAATTACTATTAATATCGCAATTACAATTGCGATTACGATTATTACTACGGTCGCAATTGTTATTACGGTCGCGACTACAATTATAATCGCAATTAAAATCGCGATTGCTAATAGAATAATTATAATTAGCATTATTAGTAGAATAATTACAATTACTATACTTACTCCTAACTATAGCGAATAAAACGGCTTTAATTTTCTTAATTTCTTCGAATTAAACTTCGACGTCGCTAAAGGCAGGAGGAGTACGGAGTATAATTTTAATATTAATATTAAAATTATTCCAAATTTAGATTATAACGCCGTATTAATTATTACCGCTCCTGAATAAAATGTTTATAGCGTAAACGAAACGGAATTATTTTAAAACGTACGTAGTAATTATATTCTTATCCTTATAAATATTGTAGAGAATAAATCTTCCTTTATTAAATTTCCGAATAATAATAATTGAATCGGGCGTAAATATCTTAATTAAAATAATAGTAAATTATTTCAACGTACAAAATTTATAACGCTTTTTAAGAATTATTTAATTATATTATTATATATAGGCGGTACTTTATAAAAAGAGGGGCTATATATAAATTAATTCCTTATAAATAAAACCCTTAGGATTATTTTTAAGAAGAGTAGTTAAGTAATCCGAAAATATAGAGGCGTCGGTATAAATAATACTACTACTAATCTTAATTATACTTATATTATTGAAATTCTTAGTAAAGGGGTTAAAAATATTAATATTATTTCGCTTAAACTTTAATTTATCGTCGTTAGCAAAATTAGTAAGTAAGCGAAGAGAAGTAATATAAGTAGGGTTATAACCGAAGTCGAAACCGTCGTAGTCCTTATTATAACCGAGGTCGAAGCTGCTGTAATCCTTATTACCGTCGTTACTACTACCGCTATTATTAGGATTTCCGGAGGCTATGGTAATAAAGCGGGTAGTAAGGGGGATAAGGGGAGTACCGCTTCTAACTTTATTAAAGGAATTAATATTAAATTTTAAATTAGTTAAAGGAAAAGTACTTCTAATTTTACTATAAATGTCAGTATTAATATTAGAATTAGCGACGAAGAAAGTATTAATAATGGGGATTATATTAGTATTAACGATATTAGCCTTCTTAATATACTTAGCGGTCGTACGCTCCATAATAGCTTTACTAGCTTCGGAGTAGGATAAGTCTGGGTATACTACTTGTAACGAGTCTGCAAGAGTAAAGTATAGCGAGCAGTCATATAAAGTTGAAATACTATATTTAATAAGGAAAGAAAGAAAAGACTGCTAGCAGAAGGCGGGTAGTTAGAATAAGGTTTTAAGGTATGTAATACCAAGCCCGTACGGGCTAGGTAATCAGGTGGGTCCAGCCAACCAGAGGCGGTACATCGGTCTTAGCACTACCCGAGCGATGGCAAGCCACATAAACCGGCTTAGCGATAGCCAAACTAATCCCCTAGGCTTTAGCCCTATAATATTACCCTCTTACTCCCCTTTAGAGAATATAATTCACCGCACAAGATACGTCGTAGTTAAAATATACGAAAATAATTAAAATCCAATTAACTAGCCGTACCCTTCCAAATATTCGTAGACGGGGAAGAATTAATAATATTAAGAAGTCTAAAAATTCCTTCTCTAAGCTCCTAAATAAACGCTACACAATTACCAACGTACTACCTAAATCAGTAGTACCCTACTAAATACCTACCCTTATAGAATTATTCCTAATATATAGAAATTAAGATTAAATTAGGAGATATTTCTAAATTTTACCTATCCAGGATAGTCTCTTCTATTATAATACGTTCATAATCAATATTAGAAATAATTAATAAGACTAAGGCTATTACCTAGTATTTCGTATTACTTTGCTTCTTTTGTTAATAGGAGCTTTATCCTCACTGCCATAAAGATAGCTTAGTAGTCCTTATACTTACGAAATATAACGTTTATTACCCTCCTACAGTTACGTATTATAGTAAATACTAATATTCAATTAATTATACGTAAAAGAAGTAGATCAAAGATTAATTGTACGATTGACTAGTAGGCGCTTTACTTCGATTAGTTATTAGAGGTTCCTCTTTTTAAATATAATTAGCGCTCCCTCTACTATAGTATTTTTAAAGAGCTTCTATTTACCGATAAAACTTCTATTTAATTAAATCCCTCTTCTTTATAATTATTACTATCGTAACCGCCTAAGCCCCCAACCGGGCTATTAATTCGAACGTTATTCAACTTCGTAGTTTTAAAGTACTTCCTAAACTAGTGAGAACCATTACCACTTGTGCACCTACCCTCCCTTTTCATTTCCTCCTCCTTCGTCTCCTTTATTGTAAACTAGG